TTGGTATGAAACAAAGTCTCAGCTTTCAAATTTTGTCCTTTTTTTTTTTTTTTTAAGAAATTCAAACAATAAATACCATTTTGTGGCTCTTTAATGTGTCATGACAGATCGCTGTAGCGCTTCAGTTCAAGCGGCAAATGAACCGATCATCTCTTCCTCTTTACTAGTTATAGCACAAAATAAACATGAAACAGCATCAGAAGGTATCTTGTTTCAACCGCGGAAATACATCAATGCACACCATTTTCATGCAAAAACCCACCCCCCATAGTTGCTGTTGCTATCACACTACACATCATATTCTCACGCAGTGAAAAATACATTGCGGAGCAAAGAGGACACTGACAGCGTGCCGACAGAGAAGACAGAGCAGGATGCTTTTGGTATGAAACAAAGTCTCAGCTTTCAAATTTTGTCCTTTTTTTTTTTTTTTTAAGAAATTCAAACAATAAATACCATTTTGTGGCTCTTTAATGTGTCATGACAGATCGCTGTAGCGCTTCAGTTCAAGCGGCAAATGAACCGATCATCTCTTCCTCTTTACTAGTTATAGCACAAAATAAACATGAAACAACATCAGAAGGTATCTTGTTTCAACCGCGGAAATACATCAATGCACACCATTTTCAAGTTCAAGTCCACCAACTTTAATCTACTCTCCTGTCTGGTTTGTTTATCAGACAAAATGGCAGATTCTGCGTTATGACTAGTCAGATCGCCTGTCAATCAAACTCCCAGCGAAGGGTCAATTGAAGATAGTGGGCGTGTTTGATTAAATTGTTTGGAAGTCAATGGCTGGATTCAACATTGCATGCTATTCTTACTATTTCTGTCATATCTTACTGTGGCTGAAATAATAAGAATAGTTGTGTGCTATTCCGAATTCGACCAATATTTTGTAACTTTGCTTTTCTGCTGCTATAGCACATAAATCACACACTTCACCTTTAAGCGTCAGGGGAGACCGGCCTGACAAGGACAATTTGCAATACTGTACATTACCAGTACAATGCTCTCCTGAGAGGGGTTTCTTGGCCTATTTTTCAAAAAACAATAATGATAATGACTTTCTTCTGATTTTGAGATGTTAAATAATTATGATTTTGCCAAAGGTCAATAATAACACAACTGCTGACATTCTCATTTGGTACATTATAAATTGTTAAACATTGATATATGGTTTAATATTTGCCATCCAATAGGGACGACAAAGGTTTCTTTTCTTCTTTTTTTTTTGACAGAGAACCATAATGTGTTCTGACATACAAGTGATTATTTAAATAAGGAGCGACAGTAAATGCATATATGAGCATAGAAAATGGGGCTTAGCCAGTTGAGATGAATTGCTAGATTAGGAGTCACAATGGGAGCGAATGAGAGAGAACATGAATAATATCGATGCAGAATTAGGGAGATGCACCCATCAAAGTAGTTATGAGGTTACATAAGAAAGCTAATTTACAATATGGCTGCCAGAGAAATTGAATACAGAGGAAATAGTAAATTATGATACCAAAGGTGAATGCATTTGCTCAGTGAAAGAAATGAAACAACTTCAACCTGCTGTTTAATGTGAGAACATATCCGCAATATATATAGATGAGAAAGCTAACGGGGAATGTATTGCACATTAAAAAAGATGCTAATGGCAATGCATTATAAAACTGGATGCCTTTTCTGTGCCTAACACAGTCTTAATGTTGTATTAAACTCTGAAAAGTGCTGTATTTCTCAACAATTAAAATTTTAAGTGTATTAAGCGTAATGGATTTCCCATAATGCATTGCCGAAGGAATGCGAGGTCAGATCATGGGAACTCTGAGTCACTTTCCATTAAGATGAAAGAGAAGACATGCTTTGGCCATAGTACCCACAATCCCACCTGCTTCTCCTCTGTACTCAAAAGCTGTTGTTTTGTCACCGAGCCATGGTATCCCAGCATTCCCTAATGAGATTAGATGGCCACTAATGAGTTCTACAGTGGGTAAAATCAGCTGTGTTGTGAAGGTCAAAAATTTCACCACATATTGTGCTGTTGGACTTCAAGAATCATTAACTAATAAAAAAACAAATGATTTATGAGGGAAGCAGAATTTTTGTTGGCCTTTCCCTTTCTTCATCCTATTTTTAATGAGCATGAAAATATGGAAGTGATACTAAGACCTGATACAATAACATGCAGTGAGTTTTATTGAAGAAATGTGCTATTTTTTTGGCTTATGTTCACATGACATCCATTTAGATTGACTAGTTTGGGCCTGGATTCACCTTGAGTAAGTAAATGTTTAACTATATAAGGCAAACACGTTACCTGTTATGATAAAGAACTTCTATTATCCTGTTTTGTTTTGTTTTTTTAACAATGGGAAATATAATATTTGCATTTCCAGACTGATCCTTCCAGTTCAGCAACTCAAAAGAGGTCTGCAGTGACAGTGTGTACATTGTCGATGTGAGGTCATACCATTTTTTACTACGGGATGGAAATGCAGTGAACCATTGACCTATATTGGATTCAAGACAAGAATTCATCTCAGATTTTCCCCTGCTCAAACACTCATGTTTAACCCCCACTGACCTTTCATGAAGAAAAAATAATTTTCTTTATTTGTCACAGGGAAAAAGTTTAAACATTTTACCAGCAATGCAACAAGCATCAGCATTTTCTTATATTGACATGCATTTTTGATTCTGTAAGAGTCTCGCATTATATGTAATCCCCTGTTAACCAGTAACCTCACAGCGCAATTTCAGTGAGATATAATCAACATGTAATTTGCTAAGTGGACAGAACTATAATTTTTGTTAAGTGTATTAGCAAGGCAAATATTGCTTGGCGCAGTGTTTCAACCGAAAGCGTCCAATACATCTTCCTATCAGAGCTAAACGATGCTTGTCACAGCAACTGCTGCTTGAGTGAGCCCATGGAAATTTTATGTAAAAGCTAAGACAGTGCGACATCTATGGTCTTTTATATCAAACAGTTTGGTCTTAGATAAGACAGTTGACAAAGATGACATCCATATTGACATGCATAACTGAAATGGTTACTAATTAGCAATGCTTTGCCTTGGAGAAGAAAAAACATAGGTAAATGTGGTAGTACAGTTATAAGGGAATGCTAAATAATGAGCAATTTGTGTTGCATATTGTATCGACACACTACTATAAACATTTTTAACTTAATGTCTCTCACATTCTCTCATATGCTGTACACAATCTGGAGTCCAGGCAACAAGTGGGTGCTAGAGAATCTACAGAAAATTTAAGAAAAAACATTTAGTTTACCGATAGTTTTTTAAAAAACATTTAATGAATTTGATACTATTACTGTTTCATTTTGCTTCTTAAAGACTGGTCAGGAATAAGGAGATATAATATCTATATTATTATAATACAGATATATTATATTATAATATATTATATCTATGTTATATATTATAGTTATTCTCAATTATTCTATTAACATCCCTAACTTTAAAATAAAATATTAATATTCAAAGGAAATATTATAAATTATCAATATTAAGTTTTAATTCATATTTATATTAATTATTAGTTTTTAAATCATATTATTAGTTAACCTATTAATATAAAATACATTTTCTACAGATAATAATATTAGAAACAAAATTCAATAATTGGCTTTTATGAGACAGAAAAAAAAAACGTGGCCAAAATTGTTGGATAGTCTGCAGTCTCAAAAAATTGAGATGTGTGTTGACTAATGATTCAGCTTATTTAATCTTGAGTCTGCTGTTTGAATGCTACTTTGACCGCATGCATTTTTTAACAGATTTTTTGTTTTACTTCTTTATTCAATCACTATCCAACTCACACACAGATTATCAAGTGTGTATCCATTTAGCTCCAGGTTCAAAGCATCCCATGAAACAAAATTAGCTTCAAACACTGGATGCTGGCCTTTAAGATGTGTTTCATGGGGTTGCTAAGACTTACAGCTTTTCCTCTCACTTAGAGAACTTTGACGTATGGGTTGTGCCATGTTTTGTGAAGCTAATGAAATTATGGGCTCCTCTATTAACTTTGGAGAGGAAAGGGGAGGTAGTTTGATGCATTCAGATTGGCAATAGCCAATATTTCACCACGACAGGCATTACCAATTAATAATTAAGTGTTTAATATAATGTTCGTGAAGAGAGGGAGATAAAGGAGGGTAGCAGGGGAAAGGGGAATGATTAAACTGTAATTGATTATACTTAAAACCAATGCACTATTACAGAGTTCTCGATAGCGAAAGTGTTTGTGTGTGTTTGTGTTCAGAAAAATGGCTTTTTGATGGCACTGTCAGGGCAGTTGCAGTCATTAGCTTTGAAAACTCTTCAATGATGGAATTCAGAGGCCTGGCGTGTTGAGATCATGAAAATTTAAGAGGGAAATTTATACCAGAGAGACCGCTACCGTGGCAGTGACTCGTGAATGCCCGGGGACACATGTTTTCACAGGGCGTAACACTGGACTGATGTGGCTGGTGATAAATAGTTAAGAAACTAGGGTTGTTTGCACTCTGACAGCTGCAAAAGTGCTTCTGAGAGGCATCTCATACTTGAAAATGCAGTTTGAAGATAAGATGAATTCATATTCATTTACAAGCATGGACTAAATCAGTGTAGTGTGCCATTATGGGTGGTACTACCAAATGAATTATTTATTTTTTCAAGAGATTCAATACCTATGTTTACAAAGCTTTGTGTGCTATTTTAAAATTTACAATTTGAACCTCTAAGAAAAAAAGGAAGAAGTTGATACTTTTTGTGGAACACATTAAGAACAGATGTCATGTCCCCGGATATTAAAAATGAATGCTAGATGTTAAACATTTCAAGAATGTTAGATTATAATTTTGATTATTTATGACCGCTCTTCAACATATTATGTCACATATGCAGTTTAGTAAAGGATATTTCATTAATTAAGAAAATAAAATCTTGTCTCAGATTAAACATCAGCTTTGACTTCTGTGATTTTACATGGTAATTTAAAACATATGTGGTCTATTACAGCTAAACCAGCCTAAAAATATCGACAGGTTCCCTGCTAGGAATCAGTCCACAGTTTCAGAGAATATATGTCCTCATAAAGACAGAGGTTAGCAATTTCCATACCTCAATTTACTGACCTATGGCTTCCTGTCTTGCAAATATGTCCTTCTTGTTAACCAGCAGACAGATGTTCATGCATATTCATAGATGCATATGGTCTGCCAGAATGAAAGCCGTCTCATCTCCTGATTCCACCGCGTAGCAATGTATGAAGACACTTTGTTAATGGATGCACCAAAAGAAGCGTTGTCTTCTTTTTCTTGCTTTTGTGTTTGCATAAATTCCAAAGGCTGATGAGAATGTATGCTGTGAAAAATAAATGTAATCATTATTTTTGTTGTTTTACATTAAAAAAGAAAAAAATCCAAAAATTCTTAAAACAACATATATTATACTGAGAAACCAAAGAGTTAATTGACTTACATGATTTTAGAAAATATATTATGCATTTAAAAAAATCTCACTAAATTTTGATTTAGGCTAAGGTCAAAGGGGGGGGTCTGAATTTCTAATGCAACATTGATTTTAATGTAAACTGATCTTGTTTAAGGTTGTTTTGATATTGTTAGTGAAATAAATAAATAAATAAATAATTCCTTCAAACACAGAGAGAAAAAAGCATGACAGGTAACAGCTGGGCTGAATGGAAAGCACATGTGAGAATGCCAATCTGCTAAGACATGTTACTTTATTTCCTCAGGGCTAATCAGACATAGTACATAATCATTCAGTAAAGACAAGGCAAGATGCCGCAAACTAATTGTGCTGTTGTATTTTTGGAATGCAGGGCTGTCTGGGAATTATAGAGAAGATGCTGAGTGGCATAGAAAGATGCGTTTATCCACAAGTCTTTACCCCGTGATGACTGATAACTGATAATGAACAGGCTGTGCATGGGCTGCTTGATATACACGAACAGCCTTAATGTATATCAGGTTGTTAATGTTGTCAGCACTGATATTTTAAGCAATCTTTTGATGTTATACTAGTATATGATGTCTTCTGAGTCAAATAAATTAATGTGAGATGTTCACATGCAAAAAAAACCAAAAAACTGTACATCGCCTACTATTTGCAAGCATTATAAAGGCGCAGTAACATTAGTGAAGAAGGTCTATTCTAAATTGTGTACATTGCATGAAGCACCATTGGTGACTTACAAATTAAGTTCAGTTCAGAGTTCAGTGTTCAGAGTTTAACAAACCTGAATATTATGCAAATTCATGTGAAATTCCAGATTAGAGATGACTGCATTCTTCTGTGGAACACAACAGGAGAAATTTCAATACTCATACAGTAGTCACTCTTGTCCATACAATTACAATAAATGTTGACCAAAGCTTCAAAAAAACATGCAAAAACACTGTAAAATATCATAAAAGACATTTCTATAACTTGTGCATTACATTTCAAGTTGTTGAAAGCTATAATTCAGTTATGCACAGAGCCCCCTAAAGGGCCAGGGGAGCAAAAATATATAGTTCAATGATTTTACGTTCCCTAAGAAACTTTGTGTTCACATGCAAAACTTTTGCATTATCAAACCTCTTACAATAACCATCATGGCAGCTGCAGTTTGCTGTTATGTGTCCTCCTAGTGACTAGTCTCACACAGGCCTCAGTGACGGATATTTATGGCTCTATAACTGATTCTCTCCACCTACCGAGTTACCTGAGACAGGTTCAAAACCTGTTTGACCAAGGTCACGAACTGTGTCATTCCCGTGCTCAAGGTCCAGGAAACCATTCTAGAGCACATATGTGCTTGTCTCTGGCATCGCCGCCTTCATCTTGTCGCGGTCACATTCAGCATGCACTGCGATGAGTTCCTCTGCCAAACAGGTGTTCCACCCTGGCTAGGCCATCAATCTGCCCACGGCCCATCTCCGTAGGATTCAGGGTTAATTATCATCAAATAAGCCATTAGAAAGAGTGATGAAAGGGAAGGGTAAGGATCCTAGGTTTGATAGGAAACAATGGTGTACTATAGATAAGTGGAGATAGATATTACTCCATGTTGTGGTGTTAACTGGATCAAGAGCTAATGTGGTTCTCGGGAAGAAAAATGATAGGATCTTCTAGCCCTTTCTTAAATGGATCTCATCCATTAAAGGTAATTGCAGTTCAAATAAAAGCACATAAGACATTTCCCAGTGCCTTCTTCCAGATCTTGACACGAGGTCTTATCATTCTCATTCCAAACAACTTCACAATCTGTAACTGGTAAATGCCTTTATGATTCTTTAATGTGCTTAATGTATTAATTGGCATTAGCGTTACATGAAGATCGCGTAGTAAATTATTCCGTGGCATTAGATGACACCTGACCTATTGTAAATTTTACACTGTGCTTAGGACTTCATTTATCTATGCAGTATCCCTGTGAATATTTCAAGCACCCAATTAAATACCAACTGACCTGAAGGTCTAAAGCAGCCCTAGAAATTGAGCTGCCTGGCGGGTTTGGGCTCAGCAGTGCTTGTGTTTAATCATGGTGGTCTTTGGAAGTTGTTTTTTAGGAGCTTGTTAGGTGTTCTGGTCTTTTAATTCCATCAAAACAATTCTCTCACTGTCATAGGGTTCACTTAAAAGTACAGATCACTAAAAAATAGATTGTTTACTCACCCCCATGTTGTTCCAAACCTGTATGACTTTCTTCTGCAGAACACAAAAGAAATGTGTTTTTATTTTAGTTTTTTCCATGCAATTAAAGTCAACAGAAACCATTGTGTTAATCCCTACTGACTTTCATTGTATGGACAACAACAGCTGAAACATTCTTCAATTCTTCTTTTGTGTTGTGAAGAAAAACGTTTTGTTTTCAAGAAAGGTATGTTGAATAAAACCGTTTGTTACTGATTGTTACTAACTAATAATATGATTTCAGTTAATTTCTTGATTTTATAAGTTTTAAGTCATTTTATTTGATTAATATTTACTATTATTTTATTAATATTAATATATGTGTCATACATTTAAATAATTGTAAGTCACCCTGTGGTCTCCTTGAAGGATGGTTGAGAGCCTCTGCTTTAAAGCTTCACCTCTTCAGTTAATTTGAGGGTTTTATGATAAATTCTACATTAATATAAAACAGTATGTGGGTTGGGCCCCATGATTATCTCTCTCCCGTGTTTTTCGCCATCCACGGCTTTACTTCACTGTTAAAAGCATGCCATTTTACAAGACAGATTCCTTTGTGCCATTCTCATTAAAGAAATTATATGCCTACTTCCTAAAGAAATGTGCTATTTGTGTAAATCTCAGCTCATAAATACACTTGCATGTAGTCATAATGAAGAACGACTATAACCTCCTGTCTAGCTTTAAAAATATATCAAAGGGTAACAAGTCGCTGTGAATTAATGTTGAATAAAACCGTTTGTTACTGATTGTTACTAACTAATAATATGATTTCAGTTAATTTCTTGATTTTATAAGTTTTAAGTCATTTTATTTGATTAATATTTACTATTATTTTATTAATATTAATATATGTGTCATACATTTAAATAATTGTAAGTCACCCTGTGGTCTCCTTGAAGGATGGTTGAGAGCCTCTGCTTTAAAGCTTCACCTCTTCAGTTAATTTGAGGGTTTTATGATAAATTCTACATTAATATAAAACAGTATGTGGGTTGGGCCCCATGATTATCTCTCTCCCGTGTTTTTCGCCATCCACGGCTTTACTTCACTGTTAAAAGCATGCCATTTTACAAGACAGATTCCTTTGTGCCATTCTCATTAAAGAAATTATATGCCTACTTCCTAAAGAAATGTGCTATTTGTGTAAATCTCAGCTCATAAATACACTTGCATGTAGTCATAATGAAGAACGGCTATAACCTCCCGTCTAGCTTTAAAAATATATCAAAGGGTAACAAGTCGCTGTGAATTATACAGGTCACCCTGCATTGTATGAGATACAATAAAAATAAATCAAAGCATTTATGTTTAATCACCACTTGTAGTAATGCAATACCTGCTTCATGGATGCTAATTTTAGCCATCAAGAAAGTGCACGTTAGCTATTCACTATATGTGAGTGCTGAGAAAACAGCATTTGAAATCTCCCAATCACAACGTTTCAAATTCATGCCAAACATTATCATTCAGTGGCCGGCTCTCGTGGTGAATTCGATTACCTTAAACCTCTAAAGAACACAAGGAGTGATTTAGAGCAAAACATTTTTGCAAATTGTACAGGACTTCGCATGCGCTCGGCCAATAGACTGCCGTTCACCCTCCTTTCAAATCAGGCCCACTTCCAAGTTTCCAGTTATGAAAAATGCCTGGGTAGGGGACTATCATTACAGCAATCATTCCTGTCTGTTGTATCCATTTTGCTTTAAATGTATCTCTAAAGCTCATACAGACATTTCCAAAATTTCTATCATTTCAGTCAGACTGTGATCTCCACTGGCAATCTGCATTTTGTTGAACGTGTGTGGAGGGAATAGAAACCAGACACCTGTCTCTCCACAGTGGGATATTAACAGAGAGAGAAAAAAAGAAAAAAGCCACACTAAGTTCTCCGACCAGCCGAGCATATCAAAGCAGTGTGCACTCAGACCTCAGATTGCAATAGGGATATCATTTCAAAAAAGGGGGACAAACCATGCCTTGCAGGCCTCAGGGCCTAATAATCATCATTTCACCCATCGCTGTGGTCTGCAACAGTAATCTTACTTTCAGTTGATTGGCTGATGCAATGACAGCTTTTCCACGACTGACATGTGGACAAACACAATATGGCTATGAAACAGAGAGCTGTTAGTGAGCTGTTTGGCAGGGTAATGTTTTTTTGAAATAGATCTGAACCAGAAGTTTCAAGCTAATTTTCAAATAGAAGCTTTGAAAGTCACCCAAGCTTATACTCAACCTTCTGAAGTGGTATAAATGTCTATAAATTATTTAAATTATATCTTGAAAAGAAAAAGAAAAAAAGAATGTCTTAGTGGTCAACTGCTTTCTTTTGATGTATAGACTGAGCTCTATGTGTTAAGTTGGAGACATTTGGACATTCTTACTATAATTCATCTTAAAATTATAGCTGGATCTTGATAAATGGGTAGCTGATGTGAAATGCTTTCGGAAAGTCGACATATCATGTGGTGTGACATGAAACTAATTCTTTTGTAATTATTATGCATGGCCTCGTTTTAATTGAGAGACATGAAATATGTTGTTTTAAAAATGCATTTGTCACACTGCAAGAGCATGTAGATGGATACTTCAGTCAAACATCTAATTTCTGTCATCATTGCCTTGCATTTTTCCTCTATTACTTATATCAAACTATTCTTTAAAAGATTATTAAAAATTGTGAAAAATATATATAATAAGTTTTATTAAAATAAAAAAAAACTTTCTCTTACCAAATGTACACTACATTTCAAAAGTTTGGGAAAGTTATTTGTTTTAAAGACTCTTATGTTCAAAAATACAGTAAAATAGTAATATCGTGAAGTATTATAATTTAAATTCGATTTTTTTATATTTTAAAATGTAATTCATTCCTGTGGCAAAGCTGAATTTTCAGTAACCAGTACTCCAGCCTTCAGTGTCACATGATCTTTCAGATATCATTTTATTATGGTGATTTGGTGCTTAAGAAACATTTTAAAAACAGTTGTGATAAAAAAATATTAATTTCTTGCCCAAAATATCTTTCTGACCCCAAATGTTTTTGTGTCCATTCATATATAAAAATAAATATTCATTCACTGACACAAACATTCATGGATATGTTCCTATCCAAATATAAAAAGTCAGTGAGATTATGTGATTAACTCATTAGAGACTTATTTAAAACAACACTCACGCTCACAAGCCCACAGTGTTCAGTCATTCCATGAAGCTGTAGCTTTATCCATCTGGCTGTTTGTCATTGCTTCTCGATTAGAGAGCGTCTATGAGCTCCCGTCACCGAGCTCAAGCTTGGGAATTCATAAGAAGTGTTCAGAGGATAGCCAAAACATGAAGTCTACAGCTCGACAGCCAACAAAGTTCACGGACGTGCTGTGAGTTTTGTGTGGCCACATTCTCCCAAGAAACCACTAAACTAGAGGGAAATATGAGGTATAAACCTTGCTGATACTCCCGGAGAGAGCATAGCTCGTGTGAGATTTTAAGACGACTTCATTTTCAAGGTCTTGCTATTATATGGGTACATAATTAACATTTCCCCATCAGTTACAGTGGAGTGGAAGCACAGGGATCCAGGCGGATATGCTTAAATCTGCCTTGAATTACTCTCCACTAACTTCCTAATTCAGCTGAATTCTGATGAGCCTGTCTGGTCATTTATTCAACAGAGCACTTGTTTTGAGTGCAACCTGGCTATAGCCACATGAAGGAAACCTTTGATCAGGGTCCTTGTTGCTTATGATGGTCAATGCTTGCAGCGTATGTAATATGTCTTTTTAATTTCTCTAATCTGATTGAGTCATAATTAGTCTGTGACAGAAGAACCAGATGATCAAGAAAATGACATGGCATGTTTCTGAATTTTCTTTTGTAACCGGTTACTAGATAGTGCCTAGTTTTAAAGTGAAATGTGCAGCCAACCCCCTCTAGTGGTTGCTTGTGCATTATATGTACTGTAGCAATTCCCAAATTTAAGATATCGTCAATCATTTACTCTTTGGATACATCAAGGAGTCAAGTAAAGATGCCCATAGGGATTGTTTTATCCTTGTCTCACTAAATCTCTGTCTGTTTCTTCTCATCAATGTCCTGAAAACACGTCAGGGCATTTGCCGGGGCTAATAAGAGAGCATGTGTGATTGGCTGAAAGGTCTTGCGTTCTGCAAACAAGCAGGAAGTGACTGAAACTGCATCTAAACCATCAAGCCATGCTTAGAGCTGTGATGAATCCCATTTATAGTTTTGAATTCAATTTCATTCTGTTTCTCATCCATTTTAAAGAATAATGTAGCTGGATACTGATGCTGGCAATGTGTGTGGGCTGACCCAGCTCCAGTTTGATCATTTTATCTGATTGTGAGGAAAACAGTTGGGTGATGGATAATATCTCATTACGATGGGAAAGTGAGAGTTTAATTTCCTGTACATGCTCCATCTTTATTAATGTCAGGAACAGCGGGTTGTCAATTGCATTAGGGCTCTGTTCTTGTGCTAGGCATTGTGCATGACACAAACAATGTCTTCACACTGAGCTTTGACAACTGCAAAGCTCAGACAAAATATGTCACGAAAAATCGTGACATATTTTACCATTAGTTGTAGAAACAACTGATTTGCTTTTACTGCAAACCTCTTCTTACTAGATCTCAGTAGAGCTGAACACCTACGACTGACCTGTAAGTATCTTCAGCAATATGAGGGGTTATTAAATTATTTATTATTAATGCACTATTTACAATATTATTAATAAATGCTGATTACTGATTAAAAAATAAAAATAATGATCTAATCCAGCCCAAGCTTTTTGCTATACAAAAACAAACTTGATTAAAAGTAAATGTTGTATTATATCCAACTATATTATGTTAAACCAAAAAGATAAATTATAAATGATATGCTTCAGTGGCATATTTTTCCTTCCTTCCCCCCAAAAAAATCATTTTGTTAACCTTAAGATACATTTGAATTTAAAAGAGATAGTTCATTCAAAAAATAAAATATTTTCACAATATACTCACTTTAACATCATCCCAAATCCGTATGGTGTTCGATTCCTGCAGAACGCAAAAAAAAAGAAGAAAATTTAGTAACACTTTACTTTAAGGACCAATTCTCATTAACTAGTTGCTTAGTAGCATGCATGTTACTAGAATATTGGCTGTTTATTATTAGGCACATATTAATGCCTTATTCTGCATGACCATATTCTAGATCCCTTAACTCGACCCAATACCTAAACTTAACAACTACCTTACTAACTATTAATAAGCATCAAATTTACTAAGGAAAAACTCTTAGTTAAGAGTGAATATGTGTTCTAATTTAAAGTGTTATGGAAAATGTATTTATTTATTATACATTTAATATATTCTAGTCCCTCTATTCCATACAATGAATTGTGAGGCTTTCATGCTTCAAAAAATATAAATAAAAGTATCATAAGCATGTCTTTTTACACCATGCAATAGCTTTCTGTTGGAAAACACACAACATTTATGCCTTAACTGGCAAAAATCTTGCTCTTCATTTAAATGACTACAAATATCATGTAAAACTGGGTAGTAGCAAAACCATGGTTAATTTGTGGTTACTATCGTTTAACTATAGTAACCATGATTTGTTGGTTTTATTTGTAGTAAAAACCATGGTTAATTTTCATAAGGGCACAGAAACGCTAAATGCGAATGCTAAACATGACCTCAGTGTGCAATGCTCTGTTTTTCTTGTTTTGTGAGACTTAAAGTGTGGCAGTATGGGACAGGATTAAGTACATAAGAGACTGAAAGCGTGAATGAGAAAATTAGAGAGAACGAAAGAGAGGGCTGAGTAGCAGTAGTTGTTCTCCTTCACTGGCTGTCTGCAGCAGCTTGTATCAGGGGCTCGGGGGGCCTGCAGAACTATACCCAGAGTGCCTGATTATTACCATGCTAAATTTATATTGATTGCTGTAGCTTAAGAGCTAAATTCAAGATTTTCCCTAGACGCAGTCACAATATATGGTCTGAAGTGATCTGGTAATCCAACTACAAGATGAGCAATGTGTTTGTTATGCAATAAACTCAGCTACAGTCCCAAACCTCAGTCTCCCTCAGAATCCTCAAGATCTCAGGTGTTTTCGTCATCCATGTGCCAGATGGCAGTCGGGATGGGCCGAGGGAGGTAAGTTTTCCTCAGCGCTTGAGGTGAAGTTGTAACTGCCCTCCTGCAGGCACTTTTCATCACTTCTATGCATATGTGTTTGCCCTTGACATTATCAGCAGATTTATGAGGCCCTGAGGTAGCGAAATAGTGCTGAGAAAGTGAAGACAGTGGCCTGCAGTTGTCCGTTGGCTATATTTGCACCCGTAGAGGAAGGAAAAAGCTCTGTAAATCGAGCCTCACAGAGCAGGCCCCTGGGGAAAGCCCCTAATTAAACAGTGATTAAATTAAGGGCCAATGCGAGTGAAATGCGCATTGATTGACAGGCTGCTCCTCTCACATTCACTTTCTCCTGGGTTTAGATAAAGCATGCGGACTCGTCGATGACTTCTCTGGCTTTGGTCTCTGAAGACGTCCAATTAATCCATTTTAGCATATAAATGTGCATGACTGCGACTCTTTGACAGTGTTTTCAACCTGTTTGGGACTGAAACTCATTAACATATCTGAAAGAAATATTTCCAGGTCATCTTTATGCATGCTTGAGGCAAGTCACACAACCAATGTGTGGAAATCACCTCTAAAATCTCATTTAGCAAAAAATAAATAAATAAAATTATTAAAAAAAACAACAACTGTGGCCTTGAAATTGGTTTAGGAGTCAAACAAGTGCCCAGTATTCGTGGTAAACTCTCCCTTAATTTGTACACAGATTTAGATATTTCATAAAGCAAACATGCTGCTATTAAAAGTGAGACATGTTTGCCCTTGAACAACGTTTTAAGTTGTATAATGGTAAGAAGGTCCTGTACAGGTGTAATCTAAATTCAAATTTATAGACATGGATAGCAGCTTTGTCTGAGAATGGCTGTTACTTGCGATATGACAGGTATTGAGCTCAACAAGTGCTGACTTACCAAACAGCTCATCTGCACTGCTCATAAAAGAATAATGCCCAGGTCTTACACAGAGTTACATTTACAATGTCTAAAATTGAAAATGGGTCATAGTACACTTGCACACTTATAGTCCTGGGCTCTCAAAAGCTGGAGGAACAAATATGATTTGAGAAACTGTTTGGGTTCTGGGGGAAAAGTATATATCAAGGTGTTTATTATTTAACACTAAAACGCACGATTTTTGTAGATCATTAAATAAAATTGCCTTTTTTTATTTGACTGTAGTTCATTTACTTAAAGTTTTGACTGAACGTCTGAGTCATGGCAAGATGCCAAGACATAAAAATTGTCATTGTTTTAACTACTTTCATTACCATTAAAAAGTTTTGGGTCAGCAAGATTTTTTATTAAATAAAGTAATAATTTTATTCAGCAACAATGCATTAAATTGATCAAAAGTATATTTTGTAATGTTACAAAACTTTATTTCAAATAAATGCTGTTCTTTTGAACTCTCGATTCATCAAAAAATCATAACAAATGTATCATAAAAACATTAAGCAGCACAACTGTTTTTAACATGATAATAATAAGAAGAAATGTTTCTTGAGTACCAAATCAGTATATTAGAATGATTTCTGAACAATCATGTGGCACTGAAGACTGCCATCACAAGAATAAATTACTTTTTAAAAACTTATTAAAATAGAAAACATTAAAATATTTTAAATTGTAATAATATTTCACAATATTACTCCTTTTTTACTGTATTTTTGATTAAATAAATGCAGCCTTGGTGAGCATAATGTACAAACAGATGTTTTAAAATCATACCAACTCCAAACTTGTAAACAGAAAAAGTGTATTTAGATGAAATAATTTATAGGTCAACAAAACATGTCATTTTAAAAATAGCTTAATGCAAATTGCCTTTATTTACTGCCTTAATTGTCAATATTTTGTGCTTGATTTCATTTATATTTTAAATAGCAATGTGTCATGATCAAACAAAGCTAGTGTAGGCCTATCATAAAATTGCATGAATCCAACTCGCTGTGCCTGTTAGTTTAAATCCCAAAAAAATCAGAGTATGCCATAACACAAATGCTGCATTGAGATTTATTATGTGCTCCTGAAAGCTGAAATTTAGAACAGTAAAAAGTAAACAAAACACAATCTAGTATGCCTAGCTATATACTGCAGACTTGCTCCCTTCTTCTATGCTGATGTTAGAGGATAAACGCGCATATCCCAGAAGATTGCAAAGGAAATGAATCTAATATTCCTCAAACTCAGGAAGCACTCTAAAAACTGAATTGCTGATGCAGCGTGCACTGCAGCGGGGAGCATAAGACACTGCTTTGCATGGGCTGGCGTAATGGTGAGAGTGATGCCAGGCCTACTGACCTCATCAACCATGACATTTACTACAGCGTCTACCGCTGCGTTCCTCCTTCCTCCCACAGCGCATAGCAAACAAGAGCAACTAGCCTGATATCCATGTTCGCATCATGTACGGGACCCAGCCATTAATGCCTGAGACTTTGAGTGCAGGTGGTGAAAAAAAGCGACCTGTGCAGAATGCAATCTAGCCGCGAAGCTGAAAGCTAATCTCTAAGGAAGGCTGTCAAGTCTGCGTGCATAACGCTCTAGTGGAATTGAGGCTTAAATTCTTCATAAAGCTTTCATAAATATGCAATCGGTGGGCTAATAGCTGTTGCTAAAACCTGCCTCAGCCCTCATTATCCACTGGGAGCCCGTTGGGAGCCTCTGTGGTGTAAGGTACAGGGGAATATGTTTTGCATTTGCCCCTGCTGAATTCAGCTCCCCTTAACAAATTCCTTTTGATCTGGTACCCAAGTCATAGCAAGAGGAGACGTATTTTCAAGAAACTGTGCCAGTTACGATGAAACACTGCAAGACTTACACTTTTAATATATAAAAATAAGTTCAGTATACAGTTACTCACAAGACAGTTGTAATTTAACTGTATTTTATTACATGGGTCCCTGAAATGCTTGATTCTGATTGCTTAGTTGCGACATTCTGCAGTAATAATGATTGTTAAACTGTATAAATGGTAAAGCAACTGTAGAAAGCTGCTTTTTGGGTTCAGATGGTGTAGTTCCTATTTGTACCAGCAGGGTATAACTAGGCCAGGCTGCTAACTAGGCAAACATGGAGGCCTTGTGATATTATAAAATATTGCAATCAGTGCAACTGGTGCTTTTTTAAGACTGGGGAAGCACGGAAAACATATAAGGGCTAAGTATTTAGTCAAATTGAGATCTACAGCATTTTGTAAAATTACTTCAGTACACACTACATGATTTAAAATCTGAACAGATTTGGAAACACTACGTCATTCTATTTGATGTACCAGTTTACAGTACATTTGCTGACTTAGTAAAAGGTTACAGAGGAAAATGGGCAACAGACTTTCATGTCGTTCCAAACGCAACAAACTCACAAAGAAACATGTGCCTTGTTGCTGGGAGACGCATGACCAATGAAAACACGTTTGATATCTTCCAACTGCATAAAATCATAGTCTAAAACTAAAATAAAATCAGAGTCTGTACATACACATGAAATCTCAACTCAGCCTGCCCAAAATCTGCAGACTGACTCTGACTTTTGGCAACTAACGCTGACTTCTCTAGACTGCATAGTGTAGTGTATTCCAGCCTAAATTTCTAACAAAAATAATTACACTTACAACAAAGGCAATATGTAAGAAACATGATTATAAACAAGAAACTAAAAGCTGAATTATAGGTTGCAGCAGAGTTTCATTACCTGTTTGTCTGTTTTGGAGCACTCAACAGTTCAATTACTGGCCATGTGTTACAAAGCTCCGCCCATTTGAAAGCTCACCCAATCATATAAAGAAGGCAGACCAAACAATGATTGATAGCCAGCTGTTTTTAATGCAAATACTGCTTTTATGCTCCTACAGCACTATTACATCTGAGCAGGACCCAAAATGACGTGTTTAGAGCCTGTTGTCCAATGAACATTGATCTTTGCTTCATTCAAATCAATAGAGTTACTCAGTGAAACACAACTTCATTGCAGTGGGGCTGTACTGGCCGTGCATCAATGGAATATTGCACACAGAATCGAGTAGAACATTTTTCATGTGAACAGAAGTCTTCATAAATATATAAATGCATATAGGCAGGTAGTGAGAATTTGTCTGAAGTATTTAATTTTTATTATTATTTCCAAATAACTAATTTGATGGAATTTTGTTCTTTGTAAAATTGCAACATTTATATGAATGGTTATTTCAATATGTATGCAAATAGTCCTATACTAATAATTTTATTCTATATAAAATCCTGATGTAAATTTAGGAAAGACATAAAAGCAATATGCCCGACCCTCAATATAAATTCCATTTTTACTGTAAACTGGTACATCAAATATAATGATATTATTGGACATTTTAATCTGCTGTGAATAAGAATAAAACATGGGTATAAGAATAGTACCTTGGCTCTTGTATCATCCGACAGTAGATCAGCGTGCCCTTGGTACCCAGCGAGTAATGCTCATCCATAAACCTTAAGTCTCATACACAATGAGAAACAGCGAGGTATAGGTTGAGAGACCATTTCTCTTGACATTCACAATGGCAGGCTCATCAGTCATGCTGTCAGAGGCTAGTTTGGAATTTATGAGGAATAACGATGGGTTGAAAATAGATGAAAGCCTTGCCCATACTTTTGTATGGTGTGTTGTATGCTTTGCTTGACCCGGTCTGAAACTCTATTTCTTTCTGTCGCTGACCCCCTTGGGCTGATTTTTCATTCAGAGTGATTCCAGAGTTCGGAGTCATATTAAAGTTATAGGTTTGTGCATGGCAGTCGGGTCTGGCAGTTGTCGTCCGCTAAAGGTTGAGACATTTCACAGGGTGATTTAGAAAACATTTTTACTTAAAATTGCACACAGACATAAAATATAGCATACAATGGACAGACAGAAGCAAACAGATAATTGTCAATATTGTTTCTGAGAATGTCTATGGTAATTTCAAGCCTTTATGCCAGTGCTGGCCTAAAGATGAATGAATGAATTAAAATAATACAAAACACATTTAAATCAGCCTAAGTAGCTAAACGTTAATATATTTATTTTATATAGCCTGTATATATATATATATATATATATATATATATATATTTCTAGACCTGGAAAAGTCACGAAAATTAATAAAATACCTCAATGGGCATTTCTCTAAAGCTCTAAAATATTATAAATGTATAAATCCTTCTCCTTAGTCGTTATCCAGAAAATCACACACAGATGAAAAATGTATGGGCTATTATTGGGGACAACTGGGTGTCTTGGAGTCAAAAGGTTGAGAGATACTCGCCACGAGACCTTTTGATTAATGTGAAAATTGAAGCTTGTTGCATTGTGAGCGATAATCAGTTGTGACACCAATCCAGTGCACAGATGATGACTACATCTATTGCGTTTTGTTCTACTGTAAGTTTAAGAGTGATAAGAATTAAGATATAGCTGAAGGGCAAAAATTGTACTCCCCATCCAATTGCCTAGTTTAGACTTTATTGCAGAGAGATGGAGATTTACTTCCACTGTTTTTTTCTAACAACGAAATAGTGAACATTCAAGTGAAACTGAGATTGATGGACCAGTGCCATAGACATGATGGAGGACTTGTCATATGTTCCAATAAGAACTCACTGTGCAAATGCCCCTCCAGAAGCCCTGCAATTTGCTTCTGCTGTAGTTGTTTTTCTCCTGTTATTTTCTCTAGAGTTCAGGGACACTACATTGTCTGGTCGCAAACAAACCTTAATGTAGACAGAGCCAAGTCGGCAATTCTCAGTGAGTACACACAGCCAGACCCCCCTCGCCTTTTCAGCTGGAAGTACACAGGAGAGCGAGGCATTTTTCAATGCATTTAGATGAGACCTTTAACAAAGGTCTCTAATGCAGATATCAATGATCCCTGAGAGAGGCTATTGGAGTGAAATTGGTCGACGGGGATGTCACTGCATGCATGAAAAATGATGGGTCCAATTTGTCCGCTTCTCTGCTCTCTTCCTGAAGCCTTGGTGCAAGGCTACAAGAACAGGAGGAAGAGAACCAATAACGTGGCCTGTAGAGTTGTCTAACAAGTTAACTACTTGAATTACCACTTTACCTCCAATTTAATCCGGCTGTCAAAGAGACCGTAGCGGAATATGACAAGACAATGATCGCATCCATGGAAATAATAACAGCCTTTGGTTTCAGCCAGACACCAGAGGAAGTGTTTCCCTCAGTGCAAACAAATCATTTCTCATAATATTGCTGGAAAGAAACACTCTGCGCCCTAAAACACTATCTCTTAAACTCCTATAACAGGTCCGGAAGGGGTTTGACGATGACAAGGGATTATTTTAATTGAGTGACTTCAGAAAGCCCAGTGATATAGTGCTCAGCATTGCGCCCTTGAGGGGAAAGGTAAATTTGTGAAGTTATCACTTAATGAGGCCAATTAAACATGGAGAGCTCAGGTGTAATGAGTGCCACCTCTGAGCCTGCAGCAAATGAGTCTGATTTCTCTCTCTGGGCAAGTGGACGACAGCAGGGTCTTCTCTGTTATCTGCCCCACAACCAAGAATGGCCCACTTAGGTCATTCAAATAAAGGTCCTAAGCACCAGTAATAGGATATGCCAGTGTGTTTTGTGCAAGTATGGGCCTTCAGGCCACAAAATCAGGCATAAAACAGCAACACATGGTTATCATCACTCAAACTCCAGTATTTTGAAAGAAATGTGCTGAATACTAGCATTAGGCTAACTTTAAAATCTAAACAAAAACAAACTTTTTCAAGTTTAACTACGTCATATCATTCTGCCTTGCTATGCTGTATTTTATGTAAGGATTAAATATTTATGTACATTATATTTATTGTAAATCTATGCGTCAAATTGGATTTAGGGCATGACAACAAAGATTTAGCCTCAAGCTTGTAGGCTAAGGCTAACAGCACTTAAATATTTTTTCCGTTTCCTTCACAAAAAGTACTATGAATTTACCATGGTACAATTATCAGATGGTAATGTCACAATTTTAATAAATGGTGATTAATGTTTACCATGATACAAACATGTATTATCACGGTGCCATGTCCAAAAAAACTATATGGCATGTTTTAATACTCTTTTGCTAGTGATTTTTCTAAAAAAAAAAAAAGAAAAACGTATGCTGTGCCCCAAATCACATACTTTCCAGTAGGTACCACATTTGCTTTAAAAAGGTTTTCTATATAGTATGAATGTGTGTATTATGAATGAAATTCAGATGTACTACACCCACCATGCTGTTACAGTCGTGAGACCTACGGCTTCAATTGAATACTATGAATTTTGAATTGTTTATAAATTCAGACTACTCGGCTCACATACTGTTTTTCGTGTGGAAGTAGGCATAATCGGACACAGGGATAGCCTTCCAAAAGATTATATGCATGCTGCTAATTATATAATTTATATTTAGTATAAGCTACTTTGGCTATTATTTATTGTATTGTATGATCCCAATCAGTACATTTTTATAAAGATGAAAAAAACCTTAAGTGAGTCACCACAAAATAAGTAATCTGATGCAAATAGGTTAAAATAACCCCTGCCCTCATTCACCCCGTATGCATTGCAAATAGAGAGGGTTTTTCATCTGATGATAATACACCTCTTCATAAAATGGCAGGTGACTGTGTATTGTAAGGCTGTGATTAAAATACATCTTTGATTTACACTTATTCCATTATTAGCCTGTCTTTGAAGTGACCCGAGAGCACTTGCTAACTCTCCTCATAACGCAGACAGAAATTAAGCTCTATAGCCGCAGAGGACTTTGATGTTTCCCGACACCCGTGAACCTGCGAGCAAAACATTGTACTCTCTTACATCAGATACAGTGTTCGTCCCTTGGGGCAGTACATTCATTAAATGTGATATGAACAGATAAAAGACAATGTCCTTCCCCTTGTCAAGATTAGGTTGAGGCATTGGGTGATGTTGCGGGGCAACTAAGACGTATTTGGTATTTTACGGACCAAAGCATACAAAGCATACCCTAAGTAGATTTACATATGCATAAGTAAAGTACATGCCACACTTATTGACATCGCTGCTGTCTGATGAGATTTATGTGATTTCCTTGATTCTGACAGATCTCGGAAACAGGGCAGTATGCATGGCAGGTAAATGATGGCCTTCATAAAACATTATATTACTGCAATGAAATGGCATAAATCTTTCATAACAAGGGTCATCGTTATATGCAAAACAGATTTCACTCTGGCAGGATGTTCAGAGGAAGGGCAGGACATGGACATGTAGAGACATCAGCCTGTACTAAATGCGCTAAAGTTAAAGTATGTCCTTTTTGCAATGTTAAATATGGACAGATAATTATAAATCACCTGTTTGTGGGTTGATTCTCTGAAAAGTATAAACATTTCAGCTCTGTCACTTTCAAGATATTTCTCCGTTTAAATGGGGATCCTGACCAGCCCAAAAATTTTGTTACGAAGTTACAATTTGGGACAAACAACAAAAGAAAAGAAAACAAATAAATAAATAAAGCTTGAAAAAAATAAAATTACAACAATAAAACAAACCGAAAAACAAACAAAACAATATAAATACAAAACAAAAAAGATAAAAAAACAAAAACAAATACAACAATAAAACAAAACAAACAGAAAAATGTGTAACAAAATACAATTCAAACAATAAAACAAACAAAAATGAAACAAATCGAAAACAATAATAAAAAAAATTAAAAACAACTTCTAAACAAAAAAACCTATACAAACACAATAAAACAA